ATCTACTATATTAATATAAGGAACAATGGATAAGTTTAAAGTTCCTTATTTATTTCATAGAAGATTAAGCCTATATGTTTTTGGTTAACAATGTCGGGAGCTACATTTTGAAGCCACGGATCCTTACTCCAACCTACCTGAGGAATTCGTGCTCTAAGAAAATGGAGCTCGCTCCTATGAAAGTTATTCGTCGCTCCATAATGTGTTGGATCACTTTTATTGATGTGGCCCCCCATAGGAAACTTAAAACAAAATGCCTTTGGGAACTTCACTTCTTACGTATAGGATCTCACATCTTTATATAATGATTCTTGATCCTATATAACCCAATACACATGGACCTCGATCCCTACCTTTGAGATTGTACGGGCATCGATCCCTAATACAGGGATCTTTAGAATAGCTTCGATTCACCGATTCCGGAATCAGAACCTCAGGATTTATGCTTTACAATTTTGGATGGTGCGCCCAGTGTAATTCCCACTATGAACGCAAATAAAGTTTCAATTTTAATATCCCAATTCGTGCTTCTTGTACTGTAAAAAAGAGTGCAAAGTATTATGATTATGAAAATTCATCTGGATTAGATATCCTTTACGAGCCGATTTCGATGTCCTTTCAAAATCAATCATTGAATTCTTATAGAAATTTTAAATGTCCAGTGTTAAAGGCACAAGTATGTATAGAACCTATACAGGACTATCAAGTGATTTAGCAATTTATAGAAGTGGCTCAGTATTACTGCCCTTACATTTGTATTTTCTTCTGATCTTGCTATGACATTCCACACCTTTTAATTAGCTTTGGTTTGGTTAAAATGAACTTGTTTTGTAATGCAACTGCCAACTGAAAAATAATGTCATGGCTCTCAGGGGATGAATTTTTTCCAAGTTTTTAGCAATGACAAAGCAAACTATGTGATCGGACCAAGAGATATATAATTTTAAGATATGTCCTGAGCGAGCATCAATTGACCAATTTACTCGTCTGTCATTGGCATGAGTTGTATGCCTTTGTTGTTTTAAGAAAAGTGGGAGCTCTGGAATTTGTTTTTCCTGATTTTAATAATCATTGTGGTGTAATTAATTATGTTGTTCAATGTTAGCTTATTTGGAAAATGATTATTTATAGAGTGTTTTCTATAATGCTGCCTACAACAATTTCATGGACTCCTGTAGTTGCATCTTTTGAGACTAAAATCTACCTTGCAGCTTGCCGAGGGGCAGATGTTTTATTCCATATGGCTGCTCCGAATTCATCAATCAACAATTACCAGCTTCACTATTCGGTCAATGTTCAAGGTAAAGTGCACTCAATGTTGCTTGTGGATATATAAAACCTGTAATAGTCAGGGCATCATGGCGTGAGAGAGAGTAGATGTTTATTTATTTATTAACTCCAAAAGTATCAATTGTTGGGGATTCTGTATCCACTGTATCCACTATACCCTGATAGATCATAGATGACATTAAAAAGTAGAAACTAAAAACTTGAAACTAACTTCATGAATCTTTCAACAACCATAATTACAAATTTGCAGCCACAAGCTTTAAAGTTGCAAAATACAAACTAAAAGTCCCTAAATATTAAAGGATTTAAAAGTATCACACCCAAGAGAAACAAATATCGATTTCTACTTGGCCCTTGAAACCCTTGAGGAGTTGTCAAAACTTTCCTAAAACGTCTTTAAGTCAACACCTAAAAGAAACAAATCAACGACGAAAGATCAACCCATACAAAAATCTAAGAGTTTAAAAAAATTTCTGCCACTTTTTTTCTTTGATCGATTTGATGAAGTAAATATCATGGGTGTGGCTGTTTTTGGTAGTTTGGGAAGTTTAATACTCCAAAACCCTTTCCCCCCTTTTTTGGGCTTAAAAAGTTGAAAATACCCATTCTTGAGTAGTTTTTTTTATATCCTTCGCTGGCTGCATATGCTGGCTATGCGGGATGCGGCTGCATATGTGGAGGGATGCGGCATATCTGCAGGCACACCCCTCTAAAGCACATATGCGGCCTCATGCGATGCAGTTCCCATCGCATAATGTAGTATGCGGAACCATGGTTGATGCCCGTGATATTCAACATGAGCCGACTTGGGTTTCTGAGCAAGATTTTTTTTTGTGATACATATCATAATTTATTATGTATTCTTATGGTGGTCCAGCATGACCAACTTGTACTATTTGGTCTTGCAGCCAAAACACCTAGTAAGTCGAATTTGTAACCCAAAATTTCCTAGACCATCTTTTATGCATCCTAAGGTCTTTTTCAAAAAAGAATGATTTTGAGCTCAAAATTTCCCAAATCCAACGTCCACAAATATTGACTGGCCAAATTCAATTTTAAAGCAGATTTTGATATGGGGCACTTCTTCAACTCCAAATCCATTGTTTATAAAATTTATCTTAGAGTGTTTAAATTTATTTGAGAATTTGTGAGTTTGTGATCCATCAAATTCCTCTAACTAGGTATTTTGACTTGGACCTAATAGACAATTTACACCTGCGGGATCACTGAATCCTTTTTAATTATTGTAGCAGCATTGTGCATATATATGTTAAATGACATGTAGTGATGTATTAATTAAGACTTTGTAAGTTAATTAATTCATACTTATACATTTGAAAGTAATATTCATGTGCTTTTATGTACAAATTTACTAGAATACCTCATGCTTTACATGCACGCATACACTTGCATACACACACCCAGAGAGAGAGAGAGAGAGAGAGAGAGAGATATTTTGGTTAAAACCATCCATTTTGAAATCTTTGTCATTACTTCTATGTAAAACCAGCTTTATTTTGGTTTCTCAAGGTGAATCCCATCTGCTAACTAAATTTGTTGCAATTAATATTCTTCTAGTTATGTTTGGAGTAAAATCTTGGTCCTGACTTCTTGACGTGTTTTCTTCAAGAATCACAAAAGACACTTACATTTTTCAGTATTTGAATATGAATTATTGATTCATTTGAAGTCAAAATGCAAAAAGCTTAAGGGGTATCTGTATAGCCCAAAAATACAGCAGATGTTTATACACTTGACACCCACTATCTTGGGCATACCGCTTTTGGAATTAACACATTGTCCATGCCATTACTCCCTCTTAAAATAATTGGCAACAAAATGCTTTGTTGTTTGAAATGGTGCATAACTAATCGTTATCTTGTCGCAGAGATGTACACTTTTTATAAATACATATCCCAGTAAAAAAGTTAATGGTGCGATAACTGCTAATGGAAGAGAATCATCAGTGGACCCTGGCGCATTTGTCTTCAAATTTTGTGAAGTGTATGACACTGGTCGAGTTTATTTAGGCATAGCTTGGCGTGCCTTTTCTAGGGTGGTGTTTTCTGGTTCCAATTTGACTGATGTCGTGGACCCATTGGGATGGAATTCCGGGAATTATAGTGACAGTATGATTTTCTCCCTGTTCTGTTATATGCCACATTTGAGCAGATAAATATTTCGATGATTTGTTGGAATACATGGATAGGAATCTTTTCGTCTGAACTATTTGAACCAAATAAACTAGTTCCATTCTTCTAAAAATGGTGTAATTTTCCAAGTAGTCTTTGTTGGAGATATGGAAATTATTAAAATTGCCTAAATTCTATTATCACAAAGAGCCATTACTCTACCTACCCTATCATCAAAGCCTATATTTGTGCATGTCATGTCCCTACTTTCTTTCTATCCACATGCACCCATGCACTTCATATGTATCAAGGTCATCAACTTATTCATGCATACCCAAGTCTTCCATGCACACATTCTAATAGCCATCCGTATTTTTTGTTAAAGTTTTCTGTACTTTTTTGCTGTCAATAAGCTGGTTTTTCTTTTTTTTTCTGCTTGATAGTTAATAAGCTGGCTTCTGTGCGGAGCAAACATTGAAAACTTTGACATGTTACATGGAGGGAGCTTAGCTTTGGTTATTTGAAGTCCGCTATGTAATGCTTTTATATCCTACTTTAACACCATTATTTTTCTTCTAATTGAAAATTTCAGAAATATATTCTATGGAGAGTGCCTTGGGTAATTCATCTGAATGAATCTCAGAATGCACAGTTTACCAACCTGGCATTCATCGATACAGAGGGATGGATCCAAAGACAGCCGTAGAGTTTCCTGTAACATGTCTTGCTATGTAGTTTGATATGTATTGGCATCAAGTTTCCCATTAGTTGAAATTTGATTTCGATTTACCTCTTTGTGAAATGACGGACAGAAAGAAATGATATATATTAGACTGCTGGTTGTTTGTTTGAGTTGGTTGCTTACCTACCTGTCTGATAATTTGCAGCTCTATTTTGTCTCAAATCTCTCTCTCTCTCTCTCTCTCTATATATATATATATATATATATATATATGTGTGTGTGTGAAATAAAGTCCTATATTTATCTCTGTAGCACCAAGGTAAAACTCCCCCTTCATGCGTGCACAAACCCAGGAGCCACCAACTGTTGTGTAAGGACTGTACAGGCGGAATACGGCCCCAAAATGGACTTGAATTTTTAAATGTACCTCCAACTTAAATCCCTTTGGGAATCTTAAAGGCTCAGTTAACCTTCATAGCTATGATTCAACCTCTATCTGTTGACAACCAATATTATCAAAAACTTGCTGCGGAATAATATTGCTGCGGGTCGAGTCTGAGATGCTAGACAACTCATGCCAGCCCCTTTGTCTTATAACTAAGGTCCCGTTTGACAACTAGAATTTGGAACTTCACTGGAAACTAGGAAGTTCAGGGGTTTGGAATCTAGAAGTTTTCATATTTGGACCTAGAAAAACATTATGTTTGATAGCCTGTCTGACAGTTTTAAGGAAGCCTGAGAACCTGTGTTTGATTGAAACTAGAATTCTAGATACCTGAACATCTAGAAATTAGCCAGTTTTAACTATTCAACCATTCATTGAAGTTTTCATTGATGAGAAGATGATACTTATTAGTTGAATGAGACTTCAAAATCATAGCTCATCCATGACAGGTCTAACAAATTGGATGGTCTAGATCACAGAGAAAATAATGAAGTAATTGAAGGTCACCCATAACATACATGGTTAAGATCATCTACGAATATGTCAAATTTGTAGCTCATATCGTTTAGCTCCCATGTGTCATAGGATCGAGCACGAGAGAGGCATAGCGATGCAAAAAGGCGTTTTAAAACTTCATTTAGCTGACCCCAAATAATTAGGATAAGATTTGGCTGATGATGATGATATATCAGATTGTGTTAAAAGTCTGCGTCCATATTTCTCACCCTCATGCTCCTGTATGAATATAAAAAACAATATATCAAAAAATAAAAATGCCAAGACACCTTTTAAATTTTGATGGGTATTTTGGCCACTTTATTTGAATTATATTTTTTATATTTTATAGAAATGTTCCCATAAAATTTCATCTAGATATGATATCAGAAAGAAAATTAAAAAAAGATCAAGATAAAGTCAACATTTTCAAAATGGCCAAATAGTCCATATTATAGTTCTCTTTTTAAAGCTAGCTATTGATCTCAAACATTCTATATTGTTTGGACGGATGAGAGCACATATAAGTACTTGAATTTTGTCTTTTCTTGTGTATATGTGGGAATGAGCTGGAATTTGGGGTAGCTATTCTTTGAGTGTTAAGGAGCTGTTAAAAATTAAATATATTTTCAAAAATAAAATGACCAATAAATATATTTTCAAAAATTAAAATGCTCCAGTTTTTTTTTTTTTTCTTATATTTGATATATAGATGCGTGCCAATGAGATGCATAAACCCTCTAAGTCTTATTTAAATCTAACTTTTAGAAAAATGATAAAAGTAGAAATTGTTTAGGCAAGAAATTGTTAAATGAGCTGCCAGTCCAAGGGACGGGCAAGTTCTCGAACTTTCTCTCTCCATGGGGGATGACGGGGTTGAAATCTAAAACCACATTTTTGAGGAGTGCGAGCTTCCAGCTGCCTCTCCTTCTATAGTTGTTCCTAGTCAACAAAGTAGAATTGCTTCAGCTACCTGGAGCAGTCAGTGCAGGTAACAAAAGTTCCTGTTGATGCACACACACAGATTTACCTGTCCTTTGGGTATTTTTGAAGCTCTAAGTTAATTGGTACCTATTTCTTCTTCTTCTTTCTTTTTTTTTTTTTTCTTTTGTTTAATTATTTGGGAAAGACAGGTCCTTACCCTTTTTCATATAGAATAGTTAGCGTATTTGAAAGTCTCATGGGAAATCACAACATGATGAGTAGGTATGTGGGTGCTACACCACTATCCAGCCCCTTTCCTAATGGGTAGTTGTTGGAAATATAATAATACAGTCAACTTAGGTCAAAAACACCAACTCTATGGGCCTCATGACCAAAGATAATTCCCTGATTTGAACAGTGGAGTGAAGAAATCTTGATTTCTTTGAAGTGAAACATTTGTTTATGGGAATCGATCCAGACTTGTCACAGAAGGCATCCTACTACATTCTAACTTGAAATTTTGTGTCTATTAATATTATAGTTAACTTCATAGAAAAATAATAATATTGCCCTATGTGAAGCAATAAAATAAATAATTGATAAATTCTGATTACCCGTTCTTCTTTTTGCGTTGCTTCATGTGGTTTGCATCAAAGCTCTCTCTCTCTCTCTTCCCTCCACACATAAAATGCGGATGAGTAGTTTCCTTCTTTTTTAGATTCAATATTTGGTTGTTCTTGGATTTTGTGGATTACATGCTATCCTGTTTGATGTCCTATAGCGCTTTTTTTTTCTCTCTCAACTTATCTTCAGACTAATACCATGTTATTCATTTAACATGGTCCCCATATAGAGCAAAACCATGTTTCATTTGTTATTTTGAAGCATAACACGAATATTATGTGACAATAGAAATTTATGGCCAGAAATGTCATCTCTGTCAAATCAGAGAGGGGTTAGATGGTGAAGTTGGAGAGTTCGACGTACCACTTGAGTCATGTCGTGTTCTGGTGAATCCTACTCTCTGCATCGCTGTCCACCAGCTAATTGAACATTCCTACTCACTGCATCGCTGTCCACCTAGTAATTGAATATTTATGGCCATAATTTTATTTGGTAAGAGTAATTATAATATCTTTTCTTATTTTATAAATGAGAAATGATCCTATAGGACCATCCCCCATTTATGTATGTAGGACCTCAAAAGGTCACCATTAAATTTGGCATGAATCTATAGAAAGGTCAAGTCTCACACCCATGTGATAACTTTTCAAGAGATCCATACCAACTATAATGGTGATCTTTTGAGGTCGTACACATGGATGGAGGAGGGTCATATAGGATTATTACTCTTTATAAATTTATGTACCTTTCCAAGTTATCATTTTGCTTGTGGCATGCATATTCCAAATTACCAAACTGGTTTGGTGGTTCCTTATGCTGTTGTCTTGTGGTGGACATGATGCAGATATCTTAGTATTTGAACTTTGAAGTTTGTCCTGAAACACAGCACACCACCACCCCCGTTCCCATCCCCGCCCCCGCCCCCCCTTTTTTTTTTTCTTGGTAAATAGACTTGGCAAGCATTTTAAGCATCTGAGTTGGGGACCTACAAGATGCATGAATTAGAAGAATAATCAAGGAAACAAAGAAACCAAACAGGGTATAAAATTGGAAAAAAATGCATAACATTGCTCGTATAAAAAACCAATATGAAATAATGTGTATCATTTTGAAGTAACACCGACTGTCACTATAGTGCCCTTTTCTGTTATGTGATCCAGACGTAACAGGTGGGTAGCATATGGAGTGCACGTCTTTTTACAAAAATAATGGCATTAATTTTTCAATAACAGCCATAACGGTGTTGCTGGCAGCTGATTGTGTTGGTTATTCGTCTTTCAAACCAAACTTGCTGGAATGCCATTATATTCAATATAACGGCAGTTATATTGAAACATCACACTTGATTTTACTCTAGAAAGCATGACCTCAGTTTTTTTTTGCTTTTGCCATTATTTTATTTTTACTCTCTTATTTATCTATTTTTCTGTGGCTTGTAGGCTCCCATTATGCCTGAGATATAGGGAAATAATCATCATACTCAAATTACAAAAAGGACATCCAATTTAATCAAATTGAGTGCAACTAAATTCCACACAAGGCAATATCCAGCATGTCAACTTAATTGGTTCACATGGTTTGGTTGTAATGTGGTCAACTTGAAACCAGCATGGACACTCTCTCTCTCTCT